GCGCGTGCAATGTTTTCACATCCTCCCAATGATTTGGAATCGGCCTTCAGCCTTCGGCCATCAGCCTTCGCCATTCAGCCTTCCGCACCTTTCCATCATTCGGCGCGTGCGATGTCTTCACATCCCCCCAATGATTCGGAATCGGCCTTCAGCCTTCGGCTGTCAGCCTTCAGCCATCGGTACCTTCCATCATTCGGCGCATGCGATGTTTTCACATCCCCCCAATGATTCAGAATCGGCCTTCAGCCTTCGGTCATAAGCCTTCGGCCTTCGGCCTCCAGCCTTCGGCCATCAGCCTTCGGCACCTTTCCATCATTCGGCGCGTGCGATGTCTTCACATCCCCCCAATGATTCGGAATTAGCCTTCAGCCTTCGGCCATTCAGCCTTCGGCCTTCGGCACCCTTCCATCATTTGGCGTGCGATATCTTCACATCCCCCCAAGTCTTCGGAATCGGCCTTCAGCCTTCGGCCATCAGCCTTCGGCCGTTGGTACGTTCCATCATTCGGCGCGTGCGATGCCTTCTCATCTCCCCAATTATTCGGAATCAGCCTTCTGCCTTCGGCCATCAATCATCGCCTTCGGCACTCGGTCATCATACTACTTGGAAGAAGACTAAGGTGTTTCTCGGTCAATGCATTGAAAATTGCAAGTCCTCAACCAAGGAGTACCTCCTTGCTTGAGAACTTGGGGGACTTCTGTTTATACCATATTTAACCAAGCAACTAGAAGCAACTCTAGGCAAAGTAAAGAGTCCCACATTGGAATATTACAAGAAGTGAAGGCTCCCCCTCACCTATAAAAGGAGACCACTCTTCCCTTAGAAAAGGATCCTTGGGCCGAGCTTGATCTTTAGTCATGACCTTCCCCTTCCTTACATTTAAATTTGGGTCCAACCCCATGTACAAATGTAAATACACAATATTACAGTAATGAGAATATATTTCTCCGTGGACGTAGCCCATTCATTAAGGATGAACCACGTATATCTTGTCTTGTGTATGTTTATCGCTTGCTCAAATCCTCACACACTTGGTGAATGTCCTCACCTTCACCCATCATCCATCACACCTCATCACTAAGTTGGCCTCAAAAATGCCGAACCATTTTTGAGCGTCAACACCAATAATTCCACCTCTAACTATTACAAATTAATTCCAATAATTTCACCTCTAACTATGACAACAAACTAGAATAAATATTTGCAACATGCTATACTGTAGGGGAACCAAAAGAACACAAGAACTTCTAATTCATCACTCAGGATTCGGTCATTAACTGCCTAGTGAGCGAAAAGATCATATATGCTTGACTTGATTCCGGTTTTTCATTTGGACACGAAATTTGAGCTCCCACAATTTCCATTATATTTTGTAAGGGGCGAGCTAGGGCTAGGCTTTAAAGGTTAAAGTTAAACGAGGGTTTTATTGGCAATGCAACAGAGTATTTTAGGAGTGAATTACTGGGATTAATTAAGCATGAAAGCGATGAGAAGACAGCCAGCTGACAAAGGCAGTGAATTTTTGGAAGTGTGAGCGGTCGTCTCCTTGTGGGCTGACTTTTCCTGCTCACCCATAATCATAATCTAATCATGTTTTTGCTTTCCAAGTTTGTTTAGTATTTGATTTTTGGAGTTTTCTTGTTGAACTTTGGTGTCCTCAGAATATTCTCTCCTCCTCCAACACTCCCCCCAAAGGCTTCAACTTTCAAGGCCCGCCATCCTTAGCTATAAGATTCCTATATAATTATTAATATATGCAATATGCAATATAATTATTAATATGCTCTCTCTCTCTCTCTCTCTCTCTCTCTCTCTCTCTCTCTCCCCCCCCCTAGTTATTACTTAATTAAGTTTAATTTTAATCAATTTGTAGTCTTAGGGACGAAACAAATAGATCAGACAAATATAATTCTCTCTTATACGAGTTAGGAACCATGCATATAGATATTTGAATAGAAGGGTTTGGGTAAAAGCAAAATGTTGTCAACACGGGTATGTTTGTTTCCTGGCTTGTCTTATAACCTTGAAAATGAACAAGACTGCATTATTATTATTGTTGTAAACCTTGTTTGATCAATTCAATTCAATTCAAACCAGCTTTTGAAAGTATTCTCTGATTTCAAGGCATGGACATGTTCCCAACTTTGAACCAAACATCCAACGAAACCTTATTCATGTGAGATTACAGTAAACCTAATTAATTAATTCTATATATGATGCAACGGAATGCTTTATATACATACAAAATAAAAATAAATAGGATGAAATTTATGTTATCTATGTACCATGTATAATTGCAAATTGCACTCTTCGAAACCCTAGGGTGCAAGAAGAAAAAGAAGACCCTAAGGTTTGTTTTTGTAGTAAGAATTCGTAGAGAAGCAGGTAAATATTAATAATTAGTAATATTGTTGTAGGTTTAAGTAATTGCAAGTTCAGGAATTAACTTCAATGGACAAATTATCAAATTAGGTTTGGAAACGGTGCAGAGAGAGAATGCTTTTCACATTTGAACGAAATTCCAAAAAAAAGGAGACCAGATTTGGATCTAAGGAATCCATATTGCAGAGACTCACATGCTTTTCGCTTATAAAAAGTTGGAGAATATAAACTTTTTGCAAACCCACCTATTTCATTTTTATTTTTCTCCTTTTTTTTCTTTAATTTATTATAATATGTATCACCCAAACTTATTACACCATTTTTGGAGACACCACAAACCCATGTGGCATTGTCTCGTTTATTCTACATTTGCACTCAATCTCAACCTTATATATGCACGTCAAATAAAATACTAACACAACCTTATATATGCACATCAAATAAAATACTGACACATCAATTGGTAATCAAAAATTAGCAACTTTCTTCGGTCTAGAATTATTTCATGGTACCAAGGAATTTTTATAGTTTGTCGTATGATTATGTAATGAGATTTCATGCGGACTTCTGGCCCTTAATTAATTAAGCACAAGAAGTGATAATATTACTTCCACAAATAGCATATAAGGAAATCGTTATAAAAATCTTTTTTCTTGAAAAATCGCAGCTAAACCAGACCATTAATCAAAGAGGCTAATTAATCAGAAGCAAGTATATATCTTATCACATGCATTTCAATTTGGGAGTCCCACACCAATGGTAAAATCTAGCATTTATTTTTCACATCTTCATTTGGAGATCATCCTTAAAAAAAATCATGCAAATTGAAAATTATTAAGGCATCTAATTGAGACCAACAAAATCAATTAACACGGTGCTTCAAGAAAGTACTTAAATTTCAATAATTTAATTGAGTGGTCAAATGATATCGAATTCAAGTGATTTTTTATAGAGATGATCTTTGAATGAATATCTACAAACTAAATGATTGGATTAGTGAAATAAAATGCGGAGTAAGCCCTACAAGAATGCCCCTCAAATAAACGAATGATCCTCAATGGAATATGTATGTGTGAAACTAAGTCAAGAATTTCAAATTTTTAACTAAATTATAAAAATAAATATGTTCACTAATTGAGAAGAGTCAAATTGTTGTATTGTGGTATATTGGAGTATGGACATGCTGTAAGCTAGCTGCTACCAACAAAATGATCATGTAATAATGCAATGACATAAAAGATCGAAGATTCTCTTTTTGCCTTAGAAAGCAAAACCTAAAAGCGCACTCATTCTCTTTCTTTCTTATAAAGGTTAATTAGCTAGCTACTATCTTTTCTTAGGAAGGGAAATGGGACCATCTGTTCCATGAGAGAGAGAGAGAGAGAGAGAGAGAGAGAGAGAGAGAGTGCACAACACAAAGATTCGAGAATGAAAATCCATGGAAACAAACTGCATTTAGGGGGAAATTGAAGGAAAAAAAAAATTAAAGCATCAAATTAATTATGAGGACAAAAGTTTTCCACAAAGGAGATAAAATTAATACATATAATCCAGTTGATGATTCTTGTCCACTGTTAGGTCACTGAATTATTGGGAGATTGGATATCGATTAGACAACTTTAAGACAAAGACTTGTTTGAAAACTTCTTAATTAAAGGCGTTCAAACATTCAATGCAGGCACTAATTGATATAGACTGGCCAAAAGGCTTGCGATGATGAGAGGGGTAAAGGTCGATAAACAAAAGTGATATTTGTTATGTACCTTAATTGTGGTTCCGAAATTGATGGTAACGTTTATTAAAGTCTCGTTTGATAAATATTTTTTTTATATTTTATATTTTTTTGTGTTAAAATATAAAGGAAAAAGAGGGAGAATGGAAGTGAATTTGATAGTGGAGATGAAATTGAGAGAAACAATGAGAGAGGAGGATGGGAATGAGTAACAAAAGTGAAAACAAAAACTAAAAACTGAAATCTATTTGAAATTGTTTTCATTTTTGTTACCTCCGCCTCCCATCCATCCTCCCCACTCATCCTCTCTTCAATCTCATCCTCACTCTCATTCTCACTCTTATTCTCCTATATACTCTAGCACAAAAACTGAAAATTAAACACTAAAAATAAAATGGTTAACAGATGAGCCTTAAGCTTTTTTTTTGGGGGGGGGTGTCAGTTAACCTTTATTCTTGAGTAAAATCAACAATGTTTGGAGATAAGAGTGATAGACTGAACTGGACTGTCTTGAGTGAAAGATTGAACTGGACTATTTCAATTAAAACGAACAAAAGTCCTACCCGTTGTTTGGTGTTGAAACTCAAGTTGTTAAATTGGACAACCATAAGTTATTGTCTTACAAGTGCCACCTTGAATGGTGAGACTCATGGGTATAAACTTTGACTCAACTCCAATCCAATACAAGTTGAGTCACCCAACGATGTCAAAGCCCGACAAGGGCATGTCTAACAGTGAAACTTAATCGCAAACAGTAGCATCAACGTGAAAAACGCAACAATTAGAGAACAGACGAACACGAGCATCATACATCAACATGAGAAACGCAACAATTAAGGAACAGACGAATACGAGCATCACATGTCAACATGTGAAACACCTAACAGTAACTGCACCCTCAAAAGTTCCATTAAATTTTTAGAATTTATATCCACAGCGAGCCACTTGCCATGCCAACTGGTGGTGCGTCAAAAGACTGAAGTTTTAAAGGAAATATTTCCCTAATTTTACAATCCGAAAATTGAAAAGATTACAGGTACAACCTGCAGAGCCTATTTCTTCCGGTTGAAGTCCAAATTCATCTCCTGAAGGTTCAACAACAGATCATCTGAGTTCAAGTAAACTTTGTTCGATGAATTTGAGATCGTATGCGCAATCTCTCTTGCAGCTTCAATTTTCCTCAGTGTAATAAATGCCGGATTGTTCGCAATAGCTTCACCAATCAGCTTGGCACTTGTGGCCTCACCCTGATCAACAGGGTCAAATGATTTTAAGTAAAATGTGTTTAAAAGTGAGTTTAAAAGTGATGTCCATGTACATACATACAATAACCGTGCAACATTGCTAATTTATGTTCATCACATGGAACGAACAGAGAGATAATGTAAAGATAGTAATAGGACATATTTGCGCCAAAAAGACTTAAAAAAATTTATTATATAAACAGAGCTTTATGATTTATTTCTAAAGAACACCCATGGAGGACTATGCAATAAAAAATCACTGATGTTGATTCAAGGACAACCATTATATTGTGATTTGGAACTCGCAAATAAATCCAAGGCAATTCTTAAAAGGGAAGCATTTTGAATTTGTAGCTATAGGGTTACATGCACACGGCTTCTCCATGACTTCACTCAGGATATATCCATAAGAACCAACACTTTCAGGTTAATGGCTGGTAACCTTGCAATTAATACAAGATCAGTATATAATAACGGGTACGGGTTGACACGATATGACCCATTAAGTTAACGGGTGACAAATACTAGACCCAAACACCACCCATTACAATTCACGAATATCCAACACGGCCAGTTAAGAATAAACCAGAATAAAATAAAATAAAAACCTATCACCGAGCCCAGCCAGCAACCCCTTATCTCTGTCCTTTCTCCCCCAATTTCCATCTCATAAACACCATAACAACCACTCAAAAGCCCAACCCACATGGACGGGCCGTGAAGAAGTCCTCTTCATTGGTTCTCAACTTTCACATCTAAAGAAAAGAAATTTGGATTCTAAAAAGAGTGAGAAGGAAATATACTTATGAGAAGGAAACATAGAGAGAAAAGAGAAGGAAATAAAAAAATAATAAAGAAGAAAACTGGGGAAACAGCAAGAAGAAGAAAAATGTGCCAGGGAAAGAAGAAGAAAAAAAGAAGAGGAAAGAGAGAGAGAGAGAGAAGAATAAAAAATAAAGTGAAGACAGAGAGAGAATTCGGTGAGAGGAGTAAAAAACAAAGTGAAGTTGGGTGGGTGTTTTTGTTTTTTTAATATGAATTGTGATACAAAATTACAAAACTACCCACCTTAACGGGTGGATAGCGAATATTTGCGAATGGACCCGACACGACCCGTTAAGCTCAACCCAAATACTGATAATTTCGTGCGAGTTTATGTCGTGTTAACAGGTCGTGTGCAACATTGCCAAGTCTAGTATATATTATCTATTTTGAGAATTGTGTTATAACTGACCTCTGCTCTGATGATAGCACTTTTCTTGTCTTGTTCAGCCTTGTCCACAACAAATTTAGCTCTCTCAGCTTCTTGTGCAGCCACTTGTTTGGCCTCAATTGCAGCAGTGAACTCCTTCCCAAAAGTGAGGGTGGTGATTGACACATCATCCAGCGCAATGTTGAAATTGGCTGCCCTTTCAGTCAAAATCTTTCGTATTTCCCTACTAACAGTCTAAACATAAAATGGACAATCAACACTAACACAACACTTAATCCAGAAACCATATGAGAGTAGATGCACTACGGAAAAAGGGGAATAAAATTCCAAGTGACCTAATAGGAAAATGAAGAGCATATGCATAAATAGAAAGCAAGGACCAAGAACATGAACAATTTGCATCTTAAACCTACATCATTAGCAATTTCAATAGTGTTTAACTAATATACAATAAACTAAACTCATTGAGCGTGAACTGTCAAACACGGGCTATGCTCCCTACCTCTCTCTGAGTAATGAGTTGGCTGGCATTATACTGTGCAACAACAGCTTTCAAAGTTTCATGAACAATAGAAGGAAGGACTCTCTCATTATAATTCTCACCAAGAGTACGATAAACTGTAGGAAGCTGGTCTGGTACAGGACGAGTAAGAACTCGAAGCCCAATTTTCACCTGCACAGCACAATGAGAAAACAAAAGATAACATTCAGGATCGCAACTACGGACAATATAAGCTGAAACCACTGAATTACCTCTAAAATTAAACCTAGTTGCTAAACTTTTTTTCTGATGATTGCACGTTTGGAACATAGGATGCAAGTTTAAATGTAAAAGATGAATACTGGAAAATTGAAATTTGGGTTTCCCCATAAAATGAGGAGAAACATACTAAAGTACTTCGTTTGAAGCAACAAGAAAAGTTAGCACTACACATCACATATATAAAAGGGGGTGGAGATTTGGTTTAGAGGAAAGGAAGTGCAAAATGACTGAACAGAAAAGTAAACAACTAGATGCCAGCATACACCTAAATAAATGAATTAAACAGAATACTGATTGTCCTCTAAAATTTGATTGTCCAACTGACTGTCCTCTAAAATTTGAGCTTGCATTGAATCTTCTGAATTCTGATGGGAATGAACAAATTTAACATATTCCACTTTTGAAAAGCAAGAGTAGAAGAATAAACAATTCATCGGCAAAATTTTGTGCTCCCCAAATCCCAAACATGATAAACCTGCAAATTTGCATAGCTAAATGAAATATAACTACAAATGAGTTGTAAGTTACCGTAAGACAGGAGAAACAATCAAAACATGATAAGTACAGTAACAATGTATAATATACTTTTCTATTACACAACAGTTACTGTGGCAGTTGCTTGAGATCACCTGTTACTGAAACTGAGATGCAATGAGTAACATGCGTTCCCAATATTCCATCACATTAAACATGCGCAACCAAAGAATTAAAAGAATTATTTAAGCATATATTACAAACCATGACGTTGTCATTATTTCATGTAACAGTAAGAAAAAGAAAATGTATCAACCATTTGGAGATCGCGGCTGCCAGAAGTACTCTCCACCAGATGAGGTCGTGCACGGACATCATAAATGACTGGCCTCTCAAACCAGGGAATGATAAGATGTGTCCCCTCTGGGTAAACCTGCACATGCAACATTAGTGTACAATATTATATAACAGACCATAAAACAGAGGGCAAAAGCAAACAGATTTTGCAACAGATTGATAATGAAGTACAGATTTAATTTGAGATCTAAAATATGTTTGACATGTACACAGTAAGTGCACAAGCTGTTAGATTCATCTTTCACTTGGAAAAATTAAGCACATGACTTGGTAGACACCCCTTTAACATTATAAATTGCGTGGCAAACTCCATTCATTGAAAAACTGTCTTAATAAAGGATACCACCATCCTAGAATGTTTCTCATATCTGTTAAATGATTTTTACATGAGATATCTCTGAAATATGTGCCATCATCACTGGTGGATCTGTTCTGTTATTATCGATAGGATTGCTACTCATGTTGGATCCACCTCAATAGATAGACAACATAAAACCACATATAAATAGAGTTACTAAAGGGATATTATGGAGATTTAAAACAGACATCTTTAAAACGAATAAACCCACAAAATAACCGCATTTAAATATTGAAAATATGCTCCTAAAATCAACAAAAGTATGGACTAAACTAGCAGTCAATCATGGAATATTTTGAATTGATATAATTAACACGATCATAAATTTGTGTCTAAATGTATAAAGTGTGATATTGGCCGTAAGTTTCAAATCCAAAGTTTGAATGCAAATGCACCATCAGTGTATATATTTCTGTATATATTATGGTTAGGAAGAAAGAATCACAAGAGGATAACGGGAGTTTTGCAAAATTAATAATAAAAAAATTACATGATGAATCATGAAACAAGAAATGCAGATAAGAAAGTTTCATTCTATATAATGAATAATTGTTTAGAACTATAACCTTGTCTTTGACACCAATTATACGGTTGAACACAATGGCTCTATGCCCTCCCTCGACATTGTATATACTGTTGGCAACTCCATACAAGCCAAGCCCGCCAATTAGTCCCACCTTAAGCAAAGCAGAAACTGCACCACCGCCTGGCACTTTGGGAACCTTAACGTTGTTGAAATTCATATTCCTCCTTGCTGAGAACATATAAAGAAACAATGTGGTAAATGCAAATGTACCACGAACCAAGAAAATTAAACAAAATATTTAGTCATGAGCGCCACATTCTAAGCCTAAAGTGCAGCTGCAAACTAGACAGAGCAATGTGAATCTGGAAAGAACTGCAAATAAGGGAGCAAGTGCTTATTAGGCAACTAATGAATTGCTAGAGGTTTGCTAAATGAACAAAGAAGAGAATCTGAAAACTTACTACCTCCTCTCACTAGAAAGCAGTTCCAATTAGGGCTGTGTTTCGGCCGGAACGGATCAGAAACAAGTGTTCTGAATTCCGTTCCAAAAACTTTCGGAATTGATTTTCAGTCCCGATTCCGATTTCCAAAATTTTGGAATATAATAAATCCATTCTGATGCAGAATTTTCGGAAGTAAATTATTTTCAGAATTTTTGGATATAATTTCGGAATATCATATTCTCTTAGCAAAACACAAAATTCAATTTTTTTCAGAAAATCAAAACAACCAAGAAACTGAAATTCAATGTCTCAGCCATAAGAAACAGCAAAAATATAAAACAAGGGCTCAAAATATAAACAAGAAATCGTCCAAAAATAACCAAACACAACCAGAATTACAATTTTTGTTTAAAAACCTTATTGTCAGCAACCAGGCAGAAAATGTAGACCAAATAATATAAAAACATAAAATTTGTTCCCATACCCTTTTCTCAGCTACCAAACAGAACGTTAGACAAAAATATATAATGAAAGGAGAGATGTGGTGGTGTTGGGTACCAGTGGAGGTGATAGATCTTTGGGGCAGAGGAGGAAGAAATAGAGAAGATTTCTAGGTCTGAATGTTGGGGTTTAAATGGAGGTTCTGGATGGCAGCGGCGCCGAACAGAGAGAAAGAGATAGCAGGAGAAAGAGTTTAGAGGCTCAGAGCTCAGAGCAAGAGAAACAGGCAGAGAAAGATGTTGTTGGTAGATGAAGGCAGTGAAGGCGGCGCGACGCCAATAAGGAATTTTCCATGAAAAGCTCAACAAAACAACCAGCAAACACCAAAACCCAAGAACTGGTTTTGCAGAATCGCAGGAATGACAGCAAACCAACCAAAAAGCAAAACAAAGAATCGGAGATCGCAGAACCGCAGCGGTACCTTAGCAATAGGTCTGCCGACGATGAACGAAGGACGCAGTGAGCAGAGCGAAACCGGAGATTTAGCGGACCCAATTTGCAGGCCCCAGCCGTACAAGGGTTTAGGGTTTACACGTTGCGAGCGAAAACGCGAAATGTTTCGGCCTTTGGGACATATAAAGGACCAAGAGTATGGGCCAAGTTCTACCATGGTTAAGAGTGGCTTATTAACGGACCAAGTTCCACCATTATTAACGGACCCAATTTTTTAGGCCTCTAATCATTTTTATTTTTTTGGTCTGAACCTCTTGTCATTTTCTTGAATTGCTTTTTTTCTTACTGTCACTTTTAAAAAAAATTGTTTCTGCTTTACTTTAAAAATAATTAGCTATAAAGTAAAGTAACTCCATGTTTGATAAACAATATTTTAAAGTGCTATTAATACAAAAAGCAGTGTCAAAATAGTTTGGTAAATTTTAATATAAAACTGTTATAATTGTGAATAATTACTAAAATAGACATGATGTTGAAAGTGTTATGCGTTAATCATGTAGTGATAGTGGTAGTGGTAGTGGTGGAGGAGGTAGTGGTGAAAGAGGGCATATGGAAGTCCAATGGCCACATGACCAAATACCAATACTTATGGAACTTGAACATAGATGCCAAGACCAACTTACAAGGGCACGATGCATAACTCAAAAGTTCCTTGACTAACGTCCAGTTATTTCTATGACAAGCCTTTAATTATATCTGAGTGCTCAAACAAGGAGATTATAATTGTTGGTTCAGCAAGATAACAATACAACTATGATAGTGATATCTTGTTTTGGACTAGAAGTTTGTTTGAGAAAACCATAAAATACAAAATAAAAATACTTAAGTGCTGCTTATGTTGGGGTCTGTTTGGTTTGGTAACCGAATCGAACTCTCAAAACCGATGACTGACCTACATTTGTTGACATGGGGTATTTCGGAACTGCAACTGAAATTGGATGTTTTCAGTTTACAGATGGATAATTATGCATTATACCCATTGGATATTGGATCTTCCAAAACAATTCATGCTCCTGCTACCAAATCAGTTTTAGATCCATCAAAATATAATTTCCATGGAGATAGATGGATAGAATAGATTGGATTCTTGAAATAGATATGAGATCTATTCAATAAGTCAACATTGTCAATCTCTAAAGTATCTAGACCCTTAATTTCCTCTCCTTTTGAGGTACAAAATGGAAAGCAAACTCTGACAGAGCTAAAGTCCATTTGCTAATTCTACCTCTCAACATTGGTCTGGTCAATAAATATTTGATCAAATCTGTCTTGGCAATTATATAGATGGTGAAAGGTAGCATATAATGTCTAAGCTTGACAGTAGCAAAAAAAAAAAAAAAAAAGGCCAAACATAACCTATCAATTGTTGAATATCTTCTCTCCACTTCTATCAGAGTTCTACTCATATAATAATAGCCTACTCCTTCTCTTCTTTGTTGTCTTGTCCTAGAAGACTTCCAATGGATACCTCAGAAGCATAAATGTATAATTTGAGTGGCTTGCCTCTCTTTGGTGGGGTTAGAACTGGTGGATTGACCAAGTACTGCTTGATCTTTTCAAAAGGCTTTTTGATGATTGTCCTGTTTTGAAAAAATAATAGTTTTCCTCTTTCCGTAAAGCCAAATACAAAACATTTATATTATATATAACATATAAACAAATTGGAAAGCTTTGAAGGTATAATGAAATTGAAGAAAACAAAATAGTAGATAAGTAAAAGGAAAATAAATAGAAAGTAAGAAAGTGAGTTTGGTACGGTGAAGCACGTCAAAGACATTGTCCTAAAGCCTTTGTAGCCTCCCTACGTGCAGGTACTGACAGTCTACAAGACTCCAAGATATGATCCCTTGTACATAAACTCAAGATCCACTATGAGCACATTCATAGAAGGATATAGGTATCCAAGTCACATAACCATTGCCCAAAACAATAATATAAAGTAGATAATATATATAAAAGTAGAAAAGGAGAGAATTAGTTTGTGGTGGTGATTGTGGTATGTGATATTCTAATGGTGTATTGTGTGTGTATCAAATGTGAAGGAGGAGTGGCCTTTTATAGACATCCAAAAACATGTAATCTTCACCAAACAAAAAATTAAGGCATTCACCAACCAGAAATAAAACATGAATATTAAATATTTATAACCCCCACAATAAATAAAATAAAATAACTAAAATAATTAATTAAATAAAACGGTTAAATTTTTAAAACCTTTTAAAATTCCAACATGTCCTCCCATCTGAAATCCTGCTTTTACTTTAATTTCAACAAAGAAGAAAAAAGGTGAATTTTTCCAGCTGAATTGGAGATAAATCATTTGTGAAAATTGATCTTTCCTAAGTGACTTCGTAGCTCTTTGTTTCGAGGAGGTGAAGCTTCTATGATGGATTTTGCTTTGTTTTTATCCACTTCAATACCTCTTTGATGAACCAAGAAACCTAAAAAATTCCCTCCTCTAACCCAAAATGCACATTTCTTGGGATTCATCTTCAATTGGTGTTGTCTCATTCTTAGAAAAACCTCTCTCAATTCAGCCACATGATCTGGCTTTTCTTGAGACTTAATGACCACATCATCGATATATACTTCCAAGAAATGACCTATCATATCATTGAATATAGAGTTCATGGCTCTTTTATGGGTAGCAGATGCATTTTTTAAACCAAATAGCAACACAATATATTCAAAAGCGCCTACAAGTCCTGGACATATAAAAGCTTTGTTGTGAATCTCTTGTTTAGCCACATTATACCCTACACTCACATCCGTGAATGACAAGATCTGATTCTAGATAGCTCCATCCACTAGCATATTTGTCATTGGCATGGGTTATTGATCTTTTGGAGTTGCCTCGTTCAGATTTCTATAGTTTACGCAAATTTTGATTGCTTCTGTTTTGATTTTAACAATTGGGATAATATTAGCCAACCAATCTATGTATATGGCTGGTCTAATGAAACTTGCTTTGAGCAATCTCTCAATCTCTTCTTTTACCTTCAATTCTATCTCAATAGACATTCTCCTTCTGCCCTGCTTGACTGGCAAATATCCCAAACCTGTGTTCCACCAAAGCTCTGTCTAATCCTGGCATTTCAGAATAATGTCATGCAAAGCAGTCTTTAAACTCAAGCAGTCTTTAGACTTTGACTTCTGCTTAAAAATACAGTCACAACGGTGGTTTAAGATTAGACTGGATTAGGTCTCTTTTGGCTGGACTGGATGTTTTTGCATTGGAACTGCATGTCAGCACCTTCAACTAATAAAGATTAGCTGGAAATCGATACCAATTTGAGATTGGCAGAGCTATAACAAGTTGAGCCATATAGAGGCTGGCAAGATGAGCAGAACTACAGGCTGGTTCCTGTTCTTGCTGATTTTAGATGATCTAGTAGCCTCTAGATAATTTTAAGACATCAAGGTGTCTTTGTAAATTTTGTTCAAGTTCTTATATGAAGAAATACCTGACTTCTGCATGTTTTATCTAATTCGCTGAACTAAATTTGTAAGAGAAATTAATCTCCTTTGAATTCTGTTAGATTTACCTTATTTGGATTGCAGGGAAATCTTGTTTTCTTCTTGGTTTTCTAAACTTCTTCTTAATCTGGATTGCTTTTGAAAGAAGATTGCTTGCTTGCTTTTGGTAGTTTTAAGATCGTGTGCTCTTTGATTTCTTTTGATCATGCTGGATTGATTGTTTGGTTTTTGCTTGATTGGGTGGTTGGCTGGGTGTCTTTTCTCTAGTTCAAGTACTCTTGTATTTATAGGAGAAAATGTGATGATGGATAATGCTAGATATTTTCGATTTTGAAGTAATCCCTCTTGAATGCACAAGTGGCAAAAGTTTTGTCAGATAACCTACTCATCAATGTTCCTGAATGCCTCCTTTTATTTTGCAACAACCAGACTAAAGTGAGTAATAATGACTAGATTCTTCGAATATTGGTACCATAAATACTTTTATGGTCATCAATTTTATTTGTACTCTTGTATTTTAGATATTCTTTTTTTTTCCTCTTTGCTTTGTTTCGTTCCTTTACATGATTATACCTATCAAAATAGAAACAATAATCTCCAACTAGTATAGTGAGTTCTATGTTATCCTTTGTATAAATTGTGAAAGCATATATTTCGGTCAATTAGTTTCCGGTTTCTGCTCGTCCTTCGGCAAGCGGGCATTTCCTAGTGCGCCAATCCCTTCTGCTTGATCCTTGCCATTCGGCAAGGGTGGACCGAAAAGAAAATTTTGAGGCCTCACGTTCATCTGTTCAGCAAGGGGCTGTGCGCGTTCGGCAAGTAGGGACCGTGACTTTTGTGGGCTTCTCAAATTCGCAGCATAGCCCTTGCTGTTCGGCAAGGGTGACAACAACAAGGCTTCAACCCGAGCTTTGGTGGGACCTTGGAGTTGAAGAACCGGTCTCTAGGAGCTGGGTCCTTGAGTCCGGGCACTTTGGCAAGAGGAGGTTGAGGTGAGCCTCCTTTCTCTTCCGCACAGCCCTTGCCGTTCGGCAAGGGGGAGGATAAAAAAGTTTTGGACTTGGGTTTTCTGCAAGAGGGCACTTGCAGTAGAATTTCTTGTGGACACGTACGATTCTAGATATCGAGGGCAAGACAAAGGACACGATCAAAGCTCGTCTTGATTTGGAAAGAATAGGCATACGAAGGGGTTTATGGATGAATAGGGACAGTGATAAAGCTAGAAGGGATCTTGTATTTTTTTCTATGAAACCGAATGATAAAAAAGAGTTTCTAAAGTTTGTATCATCTGTAAAGTTTCCTGATGGGTATGATTCTAATATCGCACATTGCGTGAATGTTGACAAGGGTAAATTTACTGGACTTAAGAGCCATGTCTGCCATGTGTTTATGCAACGCCTACTTCCTGTGGATATTCGACACCTATTGCCGGAAGATGTAGTGAAGCTAATCCTGTTGTTGTCCAGATTTTTTTCCCAACTGATGGCAAAAACGTTGTGAAAGACAGACATGTTTCAGTTGCTCCATGACATTGTCCAAGTCCTATGCAAGTTTGAGATGATATTCCCTCCAGCTTTCTTCACAAGTATGATCCACGCGATGGTTCACTTGCCAAAAGAGGCATTGCTTGCTGGTCTTGTCAACTATCGCTGGATGTA